CCACCCCCCCCCCCCCCCCCCCCCCCCCCACAGCGAGCCCCCCCCACACCCCACCCCCCCCACCCCGTGCCCAGGGTTCTGGTGCTGGAAACTGGGGGGGGGGGGGGGTTGAGAGGCAGGAACACAGCTGCCCCCTGCACTCCCCTCAACCACACCCCCCCCTTTATCCCTGTCACCATTCCACTTTGTACCTTTCCAAAACAAACCAAAAGCAGGTTTCAAATAAAGCTATTAACCCATTCCGTATCTTTTTAGAATCAGTGCTTTCTCTGTAAGCTGCGACTACCGGAGTGTGGGGGGGTGGGGGTCAGGTTAAAAACTCCATAGCAGCAAGAACTGCAGAGGCAACAGTGTGGGGCTGGAGGAACACAGCAGCTCAGGCAGCAGGAGGGTCGGGACCCCTTTTTCAGTCCCGATGATGGGTATAAAGCCGAAACCCGCCGGCTCTCCTGATGCTGCCTGAGCTGCTGTGTTCCTTCAGCCCCACTCTGTGTTGATTTAAAAACTTCAATCTGTGTTTTTGTTTAAAGCCGGAGCCTCTCTGGGGCAGATCCACACGATGCTGTAGTTCAGTGGACCCTCGGAACTCACCGCTCAGGAGCTTGGAGCCGAACCCGGAGCGCATCCAGACTGCGATCACCATCAGGATTGTCCTGGGCTCCATCTCCCGGGGAAGAGGGAGTTCTCAGCGGCCGCCGCTAGCCTCAGCTGCCGGCCTTTCCATCCCGCGTCCACTGCAAAAGGCCAGTTAATGCGAACAGGAAACCGCCGTAGGCACCCTTTCCCTGTCACTGTTTGTGTATATTCCGGTCTATCAGACTGTCTCTCCCCTTCTCTCACTCTGTGTCTCCATCTCTCTCTCTCGTTCACTATCTTTGTCTGTTTCGGAACATCTCCCTCTCTCTTTTTGTCTCCCTCTCCATAAAACTATTCCTTTTCTCGCCGTCTCTCTATCTCTGTCCCTCTCTATTGCTGTTTGTCTACTCTCTTTCTCATGCTATGTAGGTACCTATCCCCGTCTCTCGCTCTGAGTCTCACGCTGTCTGTCCCTGTCTCTTGCTGGCTGTGGTGCAGTGCCGGAAACAGTGTTCCTGAATATCAGCACTTTTTAACCATCAGAGATGGAAAGCGAGAGAGAGCAGCAGAGTCGTGATCAATAAAACAATTAACTAAAAAACTATTCGTAAAAAAAAGTCCAATCCTTAGAAATTGAACCTGATAAATTCCAGAGGCTCAAATCTAAATATGGTTAAAGGAAGAAACACAATCTTTAGAAACAGGTAATTCGAAAATAACAAAATCATACAAAGAATAAAGGACATGACAAAGACCGTGAATAACTGATAATGCTGTGTTTCTCTATGACAAAGCTTTACCTGCTAAATAATGGAGGAGTTAGACTGTTTAAAATGTACGGTTAGCATCTGCTTTAAATATCATTAACATTTTACAAACTAATATCACACTCTCAGATTCCCAAGCTTGACAATATGTACATTGACCAGTAACTCAGGGGCAGGGTGGGGATGGGGAGCAGGATGGGAATAGGGATTTACAATGGGGTTTTTATAAAGTGAATGGAAAATATTGTTTCCACTGGCAGGAGACTGTCATCAGAGGCAGATTTATGAAAATAGGCAAAAAGATGGATGATGAGGAGAGGGCAGTGCTGCAGCTGATAAAATGTTATCCCTAAGACTATCTTCACTGTTTCTCTCCTTCAACCACTGCATGAAACAATTCTTCATCCTCCATGATTTCACAGAATCACAGAGAGGAAGGCCATTTGGCCCATTGTGCCTGTACCAGCTGTTCAAAGAGCATCATTATCTAGAGCCAATCTCCTGTCCTTTCCCTGTATTGCTGCACTTTATTTCTATCCAAATGACTATCCAATGTCCTCTTGAAAGCCTCAAATGAACCTGCCTCCATCACATTTCCAAGCATTGCAGACGCTAACTACTCACTGTGTAAAAAAACATTTTCTCACATCAGCCTTGCTTCTTTTGCAGATCACTTTAAATCTATTCCCTCTTGCTGTTGATCCTTTCATGAGTGGGAGCAGCTTCTCCTGACCTACACTGCTGCCCGCTCGTGATTTTGAAAATCTCTATCAAATCTTCTCTCCAAGGAGAACAATCCCAGATTCTCCAATCTATCCCCAGAACTCAACATTCTCATTCCTGGAACCATCCTTCAAAATCGGTCTACACCTCTCTCCACCTGTTACAAACTTTTTCTTCTCTAGAACTTCTTTAAAAAAGTGGATACAATCCATCTAGCTCATCAGAAGGAAAGGAAAGCTCAAGTAAACTAATTATTTAATATTTCTTCCTTCTCTCGATTGTTCCTGAGTTAAACATTTGAGTTGTGGAGTCAGAAAAGTCTTTTCTCATTGGGATACATACATATCTCCTCTAAAGGAGAGCAGAATAGAGAGATATTGACAGCACTGATGGAGCATTTTAACTAGGACAGTCGAGAAAGAAGCTACATTCATTTAGTTAAGGATATAAATGTGTGGTTTGGATGGAGATTCTGCCGTCTAAAAAAAATGATTCAAATGACTTTTGCTTGCTCTGGATTTTATTTTCCAACTGTTTTTGAGTAGTTGAGAGAAGAATTAAAAATCTGAGGCTGATGGCTCTGACATCTGAATTCCTGGGTGCAGGAGGAAACTCTCAGATCCTAATAGACCCTCATGGAGGGGGTGGTGGGGTTGTGTTGCTGCATTTGTTCCTGGACTGAAGTTCACCACATCCTCTGATATGACTATGAATGAACCCCTTTGTCAGCATCAAATCTACTGCTATTTTCCTTCATATTTTTCAATCTGAAACCGAACAGAAAACTATAGCTGCCTTGTTATGTGAAGCACAGGCCATCTCCCAGTTCCTGATTGTGTCTGTCTTCCTGTAGGAAAAGAACTGTTTTATTTTAGCCATCGGCCGGAAGGATATTAAATCCTGACTGCAACACAAGTGACGCAAAGGTAAAAGAAACAGAACAAAAATGACGATCAAGAGAACAGTTCAGTAATGAGAAGGAGAAGCGAAAGAGCAAGTTTGGGAATTGAATCTTTGCAATCACTATGTAATAGCAGCAGGGATTAATCCACGTTTAGCTTCTGATTATCAAATAACATATGTAATAACCTATCTTAATATATATTGTATAAACTATAACAGAACATAAAATTCTAACAGATAGAGAAGTAGGAGTAACTGGATGTTTTTTCAATGAACCAGCACAGACACAATTGGATGAATGGTTTCCTTCTGCACTGTCAGATTCTATACACTCCATGAGAATTATTTCCCTGAGTTTCTAATGCTAAATAAGTTTTGGTAAGTGGCATGCTGTATGATGGTTTGGTTGGTGAATGTTGTGCCTAGTGTGGTACTGAACCAACACAGCACATCCCTTGTTCTCACATTCCCTTGACCTTAGAAGCTTGTGAATCCTATTTCATACCAAATTCAATGCGTCGTAGAATGGCAGAGCATAAAAGGAGGCCATTCAGCCCACCCTACTTGTTGTGATTGGTTCGCTCACCGAGCTGGTTCATTAGTTCGTAGACGTTTCAATACCTTGCTGGGTAACATGATCAGTGCAGCCTCTGTTGAAGCGCTGTTGTATTTTCCCACTTGCTGTTTAAACACTGGGGTGCGTTCGAGATGATTTCCGGTTTTTCTTTGTAGTGATGTGTATATAGGGTCTAATTCTACCTGTTTATTGATGGCATTTTTGGTGGAGAACCAGGCTTCTAGGAATTCCTGTGCTTGTCTCTGTTTGGCCTGTCCTCAGATCCTGATGTTGTCCCAATCGAACTGGTGGTTCTCCTTATCTGTGTGAATAGAGACGAGTGAGTATTGGTCGTGTCTTTTTGTGCCTAGTTGGTGTTCATGTGTCCTTGTGGCCAGTTTCCTTCCTGTCTGTCCGATGTAATGTTTGTTGCAGTCTTTGCATGGGATCTTGTATATTACGTTGGTTCTGTCTATAATGGGTAAGGGGTCTTTGGTTCGTGTTAGCAGTTTGGCGTAAGGTTGATGTAGGTTTGTGTGCCAATCTGCTGCCCAGTGGTCGTAGGAGTCTTGTGGTCAGTTCAGATATGTTTTTGATGTATGGTAACGTGACGAGTGTGTCGGGGCATACTGTATCTTCCTGTTGTTTGTGTGACAATCATCATCAGACCCAGCTGTTCGGGTATCCGTTGTCTCTGAATACTTGGTGGAGGTATTAGAGAACTCCTAGGAGCCTGGTTCTCCACCAAGAAGGCCATCAATAAACACATAGAACCAGACCCTATATATACACCATTGCAAAGAAAAAACAGAAATGAGGTAATCAACACCAATGGACCCCAGAGTTTAAATAACAGGCGGGAAAATACAACAGCACTTCATTGGAGGCTGCACTGATGATGTTACCCAGCAGGATAATGAAACATCTGCGAACTAATGAACCAGCTCAGCGAGCAAACCAACCACAACATCCACAACCCGAGCTACAAATCTACTCAAGAATATTAGCCACCCTACTTGTGATTTGAAAGATCTATCCAATTAGACCCTTACCTCTTTACAGGGCTTTGAATTCACTACAACATTTCAATTATCCCAATTGCGAATGATCACTAAAAATGCCATTTCCAACGAAAGGACAGCCATCTGAGCACACAGGTTCAGTCCCAGAGAGCAAGCAATATAATACCAGGCACTAACATGTACATACAACAAAGAGTGAACGCAAAAGCACTGTTACTTTGACAATAATCTCTCTAACTCTAATCAACAATGGATGTCAGCCATCAAGCAAGCTGGTATATTTACAGCTCGAACAAGCCAGCATAATGGAATCACAGGCTCCTTGGGCCATCGAGTCTACACTGATAGAATTACTCTAATTCTAAACTCACCCCTTCCAGTGCTTGGCCCATAGCCTTCACATTTCAAGTGCTCGTCCATGTCTGCAAACTTACTTATCACAAACAATCCCCACCCCCCCCACACCAGCCCCACCACATTCTCTTTTGTACCATTTATTTGTCATGAACAATAAGGGATCCAGCACTGATCCCTGTGGACACTGACCTCCAGTCACACAAACAGCCTTCTACCACACTTTGTCTCATACAAATAAGTCAATTTAGGATCCACCTTGCTGAGTTACATGGATCCCATGACCTCTTACATTCTTTATCACTATCTCTTATGAAGCCTTGTCAAAGGCTTTGCTGAAATTCATATAAACCACATCAATTACATGACCCTCATGGTCACCTCCTTGAAAATTTCAAATTTATTAGGTATGACCTTTCACTGACAAAGTCATCTACATCTGAATAAAATGAAACCACTGTAATGTGAATTAATTAAAGTGAAATTGAAATTTGAAAATACCCATGCCACCTTTGTGCTTTCATTAATCGTATGTTAAAGACAATGGAGTTGGGCTGAAAAGTTGTTGTTGTGATGCTAGGACTGTGTTTAACCAGGAGGTTCTCCTGTAACCTACCTGTACCCGCTGCATTGCCAGCTGATAGTGAGTTACACAAATCAAAAGCTTTCCCTGCCGGTGTTACATGTGATTTTCCCCGCCTGCCACTGGCACTTTAGATTTTGATTGCAATCATGTGAGAACCAGGAGAAAGCAAGAGAACAAAAGTAGTACCCATTTGCTTTTCCACTGTCAGGAACAGTGCATCACATTGAAAATTCTGCCCAATGGTTCCCTTGTAGTAAAGAGGCCATTGTGATGTAATGTGTGTGATTCATATATACTTTAAAATCAATTAGAGTTTAGATAGAACAAAGAATAAAGAACAAAGAAAATTACAGCACAGGAACAGGCCTTTCGGCCCTCCAAGCCTACACCCATATGCTGCCCGTCACAACTAAAACCCCCTACCCTTCTGGGGACTGTATCCCTCTATTCCCATCCTATTCATGTATTTTTCAAGATGCCCTTTAAAAGTCACTATAGTATCTGCTTCCACTCCCTCCCCCAGCAGCGAGCTCCAGGCACCCACCACCTTGTCTGTAAAAAACTTGCCTCGTACAT